CAAATAAATGCAACCGTGGTAAGCAGAAGAGACTTCTTTCAGAGACATTAACAATCTTTCATCACTATAGGCTGTATAATAAAGTTTAGCTTGACATATGGCAATAAACCCCTAGCAAATGCTCTCATGGCACACCACACACATACAGTTATACTTTATCTAGATTCAATGCCACTTCTCCTATTATCCGTTGTGAATTATGTTCTATGAGTTTCCATTATACTTCTACTGAAGCATACGCTGCTTATTTTCAGCATATTCTGGGGTAAGCTTAACCCGCGGACTAATATACACCCAGCGTACTCGTTCCTTCTTCAGTGAAGCGTCTGTGAGCGCGTGCGTCTCCCACAAACCCCTGCAGTCATTAGCTTGACATATGGCAATAAACCCCTAGCAAATGCTCTCATGGCACACCACACACATACAGTTATACTTTATCTAGATTCAATGCCACTTCTCCTATTATCCGTTGTGAATTATGTTCTATGAGTTTCCATTATACTTCTACTGAAGCATACGCTGCTTATTTTCAGCATATTCTGGGGTAAGCTTAACCCGCGGGACTAATATACACCCAGCGTACTCGTTCCTTCTTCAGTGAAGCGTCTGTGAGCGCGTGCGTCTCCCACAAACCCCTGCAGTCGCTCAGTCTGCTCTCAACGCTGGGCGTTTTTTCCCTCTCCGTTCAAAAGCCTCTCGGATTTCACAAAAAGCAGCAGAAGCCAAAGACCAAATCGAGAGAAATCTGGCCCCCGTGTCCAGAAAATATTCCCTTTCTTGTTTCCCCTCGCTAAAGATTCTAAATAACTTTGCCGTTATGGCTATAAATGCAAACAGAGCGTATTTTTAACATCTGTTCCCTGAAGAATTTTCACTGTACTGCAATTGTGATTTTAGACAAATTAATAAATAAAATGAACCCAAAAAAAGTTTACTTATGTTTTATTAGTTTTTTAGATAATAAATTAAGTAAATAAATATGATTTTCACTTGAATAACTGTTCAAATAAAAAATACAATAAAATCAAAAGAATAAATAAATTGCAGAGTAAACACATATTGTGATTTTTATTTGAAAAATGCATTAATAAATGAATATATAAAATGAATAAAGATAAATAAATAAATGTTTACTTATGAATTTTTTATTTAAATTAAATCTAAAATAAAATAATAATATTAAATTAATACAATTAAACATTGTAATTTTGATATATTGTGATGTATTGTGATATTTAACAAATATACTGTATTAATAAAATGAATAAAATAAAACACAAATAAATAAAATGTTTACTTATGATTTCATTTAAATAAAACAAATAAATACAATTAAATAAGTATGCAAATACTTATGATTTTCCCTTTACTAACGGTTTAAATCTAAAATATGAATAAATGAAAATAAACAGTGTAATATTAACTTGACAAATGTATTCAAATAAATAAATAAAAATGGATAAAATGTTATACATAAAAATAAAAATACTTAACACTTTTAACAAAAAAAAACAAAAAAAATGAAAGAATTAACAAATATTTTGTAAAAATACTATAAATAATAAATTAAAGTCAATATTATTTTCCCCGGAAATCAGCATGTCAGAAATGCTGTTTATATAGCTTGTATCTTATTTATTATATTCTGTATTAAATCGAAAACATAAACATAACTAAAAATGGATCATTACACCTCATGGTGATGAGGAGGTTTAAGACGCACCAAACCACAAGCCAGAGTCTAAAAACACTTTTTTTTTTTTTTTTTTTTTTTTTTTTTTTTTTTTCAGTGTAGTCTGAGCTTCGAGCGGTTTGGTGCGAGTTTGGCCCTTAAATATGCATTTATCATATAAAAATCAAGACGCAGCAGGATATCTCATAGCAAGTGGCTCTTGAAACCACAGTTTTGAGCACACACACACACACACACACACACACAGTCGTGCCAGCACCGAAATACAGCTGTGTGCCGATTACAGATCACACTCGTGCCATCCAAAAGCACAAATTACACAGTTTTGCCTCTTCCCGTAAATACCACGTACAATTAGCCTCTATTTTTACCCCACCTGTCTACATCAGACGATCTGTCAAAGAAACGTGGTCGCTCCATAAACGGACGGTTTTCATCACCCGGCGCATGAAAGCATTGTTTTATGAGCTCTGCGATGTCAAACGGCTGATTTCTGCTCGAGCTCGAGTCTATAAACAACACGGCAGCTTTCAGACGCGTCTCAAGTGCCTCTGTTTACGTTGTGGCCTGTGCATCAGTGCTGCGGAAGAGCCGTCGAGAGGATGGGTTGAGCGTGGCTGTGGCCTTTTACAGTTTTGTGAGTAAACAGAGCTTCGGCGTGGGGCGACTGGAAGGCCTGTCAGGCTGTGTTTTGTTAGGGCTGGCCCGTGACGGCTCGTTAAAGGCACTGGAGTGAATGTGGTGGGCGCACACGCCACTCTTGCGGTGCCAGCTGGATGTGGTCACAAAACAAGCTGGCCTGTCAGGAATCAGACTTGATGTGAGAGATTAGAGGGCTTGAGAGAGAGAGAGGGAAAGATGCTAAACCAGACTTTTCATCTCTTGCATTTGCAAGTTTCAGAATTATTATCCCTTACTTTTTTTACAATCCACCAGAGTAAAACTAGTTATACTTCCAAAAAATAAAAAAATATCCAGTGTTTTGCAAAGCAAAAGTAAAAAAAGCTTTTTGCACAATTTTCAAGTAAAATCCACTTAAATAAGTCAAATTAACAAAGTGAATAAGTACATATTTTTGATTGTATACTGAATTTTTAAGGCAAATGTTTAATAAGAACAAGAAGCAAAAATATATATACATTTTTTACAGTGCCACACATTAGGATTTGTTTTTGAAGAACTGTCCTGAAGTAATTTTATTTTACACCTTTTAAATAATTTATTTTAGCTTACGCCTTTAGAGAATATCTTTATCTTGTTTGAATAATAAATCTAACAAAACGTTGTGAGGTTTGTGCTTAAAACAAGAAAAAATGCTTTTCAAAAAATTAAGAACTACTGAAAGGGGAATTAAAGGGAAAATTTAAATAGTTTGGAGAAAAAATTTCATCAAGAGAATTAAATAAATAAATAAGATTATTTATTTATGATTAATAACTTAAAACAAATTGAACGATGAACGAACAAACAAACAAAAATGAAAGAATGAATGAATGAATGAATGCTGAAAAGGCAATTAAAGAGAAAATTTAAATTTCACCATCAGAATTTATAAAAAAAAAAATTCAAGAAAATTTACAAAAAAAAAAAAAAAAAAAAAAAAAAAAAAAAAAAAAAAAAAAAAAAAAAAAAAAAAAAAAAAAAAAAAAAAAAATACAATAAATAATTGCGAGTAAATGAATGAATGAATGAATGAAAAGGGAATTAAAGAGAACATTTAAATTTGGCCATCATTGGGTGCAGTATCTTTTAAAAAAAGAAGAAAAAAAAGAAAGCAATTTTCCTCAAGAAAAATACAAAAAATTAGGGATGCACCGATATGAAAATTTTGGCCGATACTGATAACCGATCAGGCCGATACCGATAACAGAAAAAATGAGCATTTATCGGCCGATACCGATATGGTGGCCGATATATCGTGCATCCCTACAAAAAATTACATAAAAAATACAATAAATAATTGTGAATGAATGAATGAATGAATGTGATTTTTGATTACTTGTTTAAAATGAATGAATTAAGTTTCTGGTAAAGTACAAAGTCAAAATTGTTTTAAAAAGTTCTGAATTATTTACAAAGTTCTGAAATATAAATGAGGTTTATTAGAATTTAGCATTACGGTCAATCAAAAAACACAGTTAAAGTTATTAAATAATGCAGGATTTCCAACAGTGCATCTAATATCATCTTTGCTCAACAGATGCCAACATGAATGTAAGAGTACAAGTTCGTGCAACTCCTGGTCCCAAATAATCATTTGAAATCAACAGAGCTGCACTGTTTCTTAATGCATCATAAATTCAAGTGTATTTGTGTCCTAACAAGTATGTAATCGCTGCACCAAGCGAAAGTCAGAGGTCTATGTACAGTCTATGTACAGCTTCCAAAGAAACAAACTTCTGAAAAAGTCCGCTTGACATTAACGCGCCTCAACACAAATCATACACACTACACTTGAGATCAGATCCCATGAGAAGACAGCAGGTGTAGAGGACACACATCAGAAACTCCAGTCTGACATCACGCCGGCACATAGCCTAACAACTGAAGAGCCCGACTGGGAACGAATCCAGGACCAGATCACACGCCAGGCCTCAGACGTCTGATAGACGCTAATCTCCTCAGTAAAGTTTCAGAGCTACCGGCTGTTTGCTCAGAGAGCAGCATGGGTAATATCTAATCCTAATGATTCATCAGAGCTTTATTTACCTTCAGAAGACACCACAAACACACAGAGAAACCTCCGCCGAGGTCACCGCTCTGCCCTGATGAGGACTGTGGGAACGTTTGGTCTGATCTGACCCGAACTTCCTCGTCCCTGCTGAAACCGGTGGGATTGATTGGCTCTCAAACAGACGCTCAGCGGGTTTCGACAGTCAAAGACACAGTCACGTTCATACGGGCATCGGGCTGTAGTGTTTCCCAGGGTTCAGTGGGTTCCCATGGCTTCACCAGCTCATGAGAAACAGCAGAGTGAATGAATGAAACAAATAAACCAATCAGAAGGAGTCCCTGAAGTAATGGCCTGCTCTGATTGGCTAAAGATTAGAATATGAAACCTGAGGGGCAAATGGAGCAACTAATAAAAGTGTTACAGATGGAGTTGCACTGTTCAAAAGTGTTTTTTTTTTTTTAAAGAAATTAATACTTTTATTCAGCAAGGATGCATTAAATGGATCAAGGCCTGGTTTCACAGACTGGGCTTAGGTTAAACCCGGATTAGGCCATAGTTCAATTAGGACATTTAATAGAGATGTCACAATTCTCAATATAATATCGAAGCGTTCGGTACGACACTGAACAGTACCTGGACCGCTGACGGCTGGGCCCGCAGGTCGAAGAGGCGCAGCTTCTTGTCCTACAGAAACAGAAGCACAGAAGTTAAAGTGTATAACGATATTACAATAGCACGAGTTCAGTTATTCACCATGTCAAACAGAAATATCAGCACAAAGAAATACTTTTATTAATAATAATGGTAAGAAAACAGAAGTCTGCACTGAGCAATGTTAATACATTTTTGGGGGTATTTTCAGTTTTCTAATAATTCAGTCAACTTTCAGTATACTAAGTAAAAAAATGTGTTATATGAGCGATATCACACGAGTAGCAGTGCAATATGGCTGTATATCAGCACGGCTGCATGTAATAGACAGCAACGCCACGCCACATTTTCCCACATTCCCGATACAGTTGCATCAAAACCTTAAAATGACACTTTCTTGACTATAATGTGACTCTTTAGGCGTCAATGGGCCTCGATTATCGGTAGAAATGGTTTCATGTGGTATTTCTTATGAGTCGGTCAACATAACTGGCAGCGTAAATCGTAAATTGTAGCAGACTGAAGTCAAAATCAGTTCAGTCAATCAGTGGCCATCAGACGCCCCCAACACACTCAAACAGCCAATCAGGAGAGAGAACGGGATCAGTCCGAGGAAATGAGCGCTAATATGAACAGGCTGTCTTTCACTCGACCTTAATGAAGACCAGAGACTGACACATCCTCTCAAGCAAAAACACAGATAACAGGCAGAAAATACACAAACACTGTGTGCATTTCTAATCAGGCTTATTTTTAGTACCTCTATTCTATGGCATGCTTTTCTTTTAACCAAATAAGTGTATTTTTAATCAATTTAGAATGTGCTTATAATGCTTTTAGATGCCGCCTACAGAGGCAGCTCACTAGCGTGGTTTCAGTCCTGAGAGACAGACATTGGGACTAATGCTTTTTACCCATAATGCACCCATAAGACATCGTCAGTAGCCACTGGCAGCTCCTCTCCAGACAAACACGCCAGACACAAGACAGCAGCCGCTCGCACAGAGCCACACTACTTCACTGTGACGTGCTGCTTTCACTGCTCAACGACAGCAAATATAAAAGCACAATCATATACCCTTCTTATGATGTTAGTCAATATTTCAGCCGCTCTCAGCTGATTCTGACCTCTGTTATGATCGACTAACTGCTTCGCATGCAGGAGTCATGTATTTGACAGTTTGATAATGTGAGGCATACTTGGAGCAGCATGCTACCATATTACTTGTACAATGTCTGTAGTATGCATACTACATGTGTGGAATAACCAGATGATCGACTGCATTTCCCAAGAAGTGCAGTATATAACAGAACACTGTATCCCACAATGCAAAATTATAGCATTATTAGTAATATATTTTAGTTTTTTGTTTGATTCAATGAAAACATTTTTTAATTTACAGTTGAGATTATTTCTGATCATGATTATGTTCAAAGTAAAAATGTTCATTTTCAGCTTAGATCAATTTTGTTATTGATGATGATGATGATGATGATGATGATGATGATAACTTATTATTGGTTTAAAGTAAAAAATATAATTTTCAGTTTAGATCATTTCTGTTGATAATAATAATAATAATAGAATTATAATTTATTATTATTATTATTATTATTATGTCTTTTTATTATTTGGTTCAAAGTAAAAATGTTCATTTTCAGTTTAGATCAATTTTGTTGTTGTTGTTGTTGTTGTTGTTGTTGATGATAACTTATTATTGGTTCAAAGTAAAAAATATTTTGAGCTTAGGTAATTTGTCAATAATAATAATTATAAATTACAATAAACTATTAGTAGCAGTAATGACATTATTATTATTATTATTATTATTAATAATAATAATAATAAAAAAATAATAATATAATTAAATTAAATAATATAAATAATATCAACTGTACATTAACATTTTTACTGTCACTCATCAGTCAATCAGATGACCAGAAGTGTTGATGTTTAAAACACAAAACTGCATTAGAAGAATAATAAAAGGGAAACTAAAAAAATGAAATGAATTTTGTTGATTAAATATGCTAGTAATAAGGTTGTGTGTTGACAGTATAGTAGATCGGTGCTACAGTGTTTGAGCTGTGTGTCTTTGCATGATGCACACCCATTTCACAGGCTATTTAAAAAATACAAAATTACCAATCTGATTGAGTATTGAGTGTGCACTACAAAGTATGCTAGTATTTCTGTCTGAACATAGCCTACATAGTGGCATACATAAACCCTCATTTCAAAACCAGCAACTGATTTCGGGTTATCTGTCATGTCATGCACTGTGCAGTTATGCAGGTTTTATTTGCTGTTTATAGGTAGACGCTGCAAACGGGAGCCATCATGCTCAGCCTACCCATAATACCCTGCAGTCCCCGGACAGAGCGGGTCAGTCTCACCCCTGACAGTCCACACTGATCCCAGATCAGCCACATGCTCAATATATGTGTGTGTGTGTGTGTGCGCGCATTTTTGTGACAAATGAGGCCATAAATTTGTATAATGAAAACGGTATGACATAGGTATTACAAGGAGAAGGTGACTTTTCAGGACATTACCCCATGTCCCCACTTTTTAAAATGCTTATAAATCACACAGAATGGAGTGAATTGAAAATCTGAAATAGCACAAAGTTTCTTGTAAGGGGTAGGTTTAGGGGTAGGGTTGGTGTAGGGCAATAGAATATACGGTCTGTACAGTATAAAAACCTGTGTGTGTGTGTGTGTGTCGGCAACAGCTGTTTAATCAGTGTGTGTAATTTCAGCTCACATTCTCACATTGATTTTAATGAGCTTCAGTCCTGCTCAAGCAAACATCCTCTTTCCTGCCAACAAACTGTGAATAGCAGCCCTGGTTGCTATAGTACTCCAAAAAACGTCATTAATTACTTTAATAAGTAAGATAAGATAATATCCCAACAGTTTGTTTAAATGTTAGAAGCTTAACTAAAACTCTTAATTACTTGTCAAGCAAACAAAAAGACAAATGGACACATTGTTACACTGTTCATGAGGTCTTATATTCTTTAGAACTTAAGGGTGGAATATAGCTTAGCATTACATACACTCCGTTTACAATCTGTTTTCAATTAAACAAAAAATAATCTAAAATTAAAAAAATAATAATACAAA